CTCGCAATGTTGTGCCCGTGGCTAATTTTGCAGTTGGACATTAATTTTGGCAGCATCTATGATCATTCCTTGCAAATTGGACACCAACATTTAACAGAGGGTCTAAGCTCCAAGTGACGCTATTGATATTCTAGGCCTTCGCTGATGGAGGTTAACCCCAATTGGTGATTACCTTAGTGCATCTGTGTGTTGATAAGGAAGGTTCCATTCTCTTGGCTTGTCAAGCACATGTGCTTTAAAGTTGTACTGTTGTTTTGTGATACTTCCCTGAAGCTAAAAGTGCTGCGCAATAGTGCGTGAAATTTTTGACGTAAAGGTGCTTTCCCAGCTGTGTGACCCCGTTTGCTTGGGAATGTGCAGGCACTGCCAAGTCTGAACTAGCTCGCCGTATGAGTGGTCTTTGCGAGGGGAGGTACTTTGAACGACTTCTCACTCGATTTTCAGTACCAGAAGAGCTGTTTGGACCATTATCCATGACAGGTACAGCCACAACGCCCACCTTGTACTGTGTGCGCAAAGAATTCAATGACGTACTGCTTCTTGTCGATGTTCAACTTTGTGCAACACCAAATTGCATTGGCAGATCGAGTTTGTCATATCTCCCTGAAAAGACTTGGTCCTCATCATATGAACCATGCTCAATTGACTTAGCTTTTGGTCTATTCTGTCTGTGCAGGTCTTGAGAACGACCTCTACGTCCGGAAAATTGATGGCTATCTTCCTACTGCCGAAATTGCTTTTGTGGACGAAATTTTCAAAGCAAATTCGGCCATTCTCAATGCATTGCTCACAATCTTGAATGAGAGACTGTTTGACAATGGAAATGAGAGACTACCAGCACCTCTGTTGTGCCTGGTGGGAGCATCCAATGAACTTCCTGAGAGTGAGGAGCTGGATGCCCTGTATGATCGCTTCCTGGTCAGAAGACAAGTTTCCCAAGTGAGAAGTACCAGGAGTGCTCTCTGCGGTGATAGAATCTTACATTGTCCCTATTTTGCTGATCGATGGCCGATGTTTGCAGTTTGACAACAAGTGGTATTGTGTCCGGTGGGTTGTAAGCCCCAAGTGGTTCTTCTGTGGTTTCTTGTGTGACTGAACAGTCCTCTAGAATTTTATTATTCATGTGTATCAGGAGGCCTTGATTGGGCACTGAGCTAGACAATATGTGAGAGTTGTGCCAGCCAGCAGCGAACATATGACAATGGCAAGAATTCTGAAGTATCAGACTGCACCAATCGCTGCACTTGGACTGTACAGTGCTCACCAAGGAATTATGAAATAGCCGACTTATCGAGCTGAATCGAATGCAGGTAACAGAATGGATTTCTCCATGTGCGCACCTTTAATATGGATGCTGGAGTGGATTTGCAGATGATCACAATGTGCTGAATGTTGTGCTTCTTTTGCAGGTCAGTAGTGGACAGCTTGCAAGACTTGCAAGGCTGGCCGCTGGACGTGGGGATGCTTTGGACGAGTGTGCATCAAGCGAAAATGGTGCCCCAAGTCCAGAAGACACAAAGAAAATCAGCATGGAGGAGTTCAGGTGAGGCGTCATTACCAATATGATGGATCCACAGTGAAATGTTCCCGTTGGCTGGAATGTGGTCAACTGTAGCTGTATTGAAGTGTCTGATTGTTGCAAGGCTTGTTCTCAGTCATGTTGTCAAGGTTGTACTTGTTGCTCTTGAGAATGTGTCCACATAACTGCGCTTCCTGGTGCATTTTGCCAATCCAGAATAGAAGCCAGTTTCGAAATTCGAAAATCGCCACTCTAGACATGGCAATCAAGAATACAATATGTGGGCCGTTCGTGAGTGTGAAAGCACGGTACTTCACTTTTGCAAATAGTGTGAGCTTGCACTGGTGCAGGTGTGGCACAAGACTGTGATTGTTCACTTCCTGCCTTTATCTTTGGCTGAAGAATAAAGACAACCCCTTTTGTCTTCAGCATGGCCTGCAATTTGCTGTTGTAACTGACCATGCCATTTGTTTGGAAACAGGAACACTGCTGCTCAAGCCTATGAAGCTGTTGATGTTCCTGAATCAGTAGTTGACGTTCTTACAAATCTCAGGGATCACCTTCAAGACAAGTGTGAACCCCCAATCTATGTGTCAGACAGGCGGTTCATGAAGGCTGTGCAAATGTTGCAAGTTGCGGCACATGCTGATGGCAGAACCGAGGTTAGTGATCAGCTTCCAATCCAAAAGTGGGCTATTACTCAACACTGCAAATACTGTGGGCCTGTGCATTCAATCCGGCCTGCCACTGTGGTGGCATGTCTGTCCACTGTTTGCATTTTTCATGGATGAGGGAATGGTCTGCTTTTTGCGCTTTTGCTTTGGGAAGGTGCTGATGATAATGGGGCCCCTGACAAGGTAGGTAATTCAGACAGTTTCCCACTGAGGGCATTTCTTGTGATTTTCAGCGCCACTGTAAAGTTTGGAGTCCCATTGCTTTCAAATGCTAAAATTTGAAATTGTCTCAGCAACTCCCCATTGCAACAGCTGGAATCTGCAGTATTGCTACAGGCCATCGAGAAACTCTGCTGGGAGTCTGTGCAACTGCACTGCTTCGCAAACGGAGGCCCAAATCGCAAAGGAACTGAAGAAGGCAGAAATGGGGAAAAAATTGATGGCCATCTGTTCCATTGCCAATTGTGCCAGGTGAATGAGTACGACTGTCTTCTGTTGGAGCATGTCTTTGGCAACCGCCCTGATGACTCACAGAAGGTCCGAAGCTATGTGTTGGATACCATCGCATCTGACCCAGGTCTACAGCAGGCAGGATTAATGTTTCTGGGACTGTTTGGGCGGTCTATTCGTATCCTTGGTGAGTGCCAGGAAGATCAGGTGTGCCTAAAGGGGTGTGTTGTGGGCCAAGCACAAGCAACCTCCATGCCTTCTATTCTTGGCCAGTATCAAGATTGTATGCGGCATATTCGCGTTGATTACTTTGTGATTTGCACCTTCACTTTGCATGTGCGTGCAGGCTCTTATGAGATTACAGTGACAAATCAGCAAGCGTATGACAGCATCTAGATCATGTCCAAAACTGCCCCCAAAATTGCTGCACAACTATGATGTGCAAGACACAGTTTCTGTCACACCACTTGTTACTTCCTGTGAACAACATGGCATAGCAAATTCAGCTTGCTGCATCGTTGCTGACGTTGTTTTGTTGTCCTTGCTGTACATAACAAATCCAATCAATTTTATGCTGCTTCTTCACTCCTTACGTGCATTGCACGTCATAGCAATGGACATATCAGTAAGTATATCAGTGGTGCTTTGTGTTTTCTGTTGGACATAATTTCAATGCGAAAGTGAAGTCTTTAGCTTCGTCATTACCTTGGCATTAAATCATGAACTGATCATGGTTTCAACCTGTTACAGGTTGAAGTACTGTGGCATTTCCAGCTGTTGTCTTGAACAGGGTTCCAATTTGTCAGACATGCAGTCAAATGTTTTGCAATGGTACCTCAACCTTGTTCAACTCTTTTTGCCATCGTTCATGCTTTAGAGTCCGATGCCTCTGCCGAGTTGTCTGAGGTGCAAGAAGAGGTGTCCAGCTTAGTTGACCTGCTTGAGACCCGCCACAGCGGCTTGACCAAGACAATGGATGGCCAGTTCCCTCAACTTCGATCCACAGTATGGCAGAGCCAAGGATCAGTGCAGGCTGCAGTGCAGTCCCTCACACCCCAGATGACAGAAAACAAGAAGAAGGTGATTGACTGAAGGCAATGGCAAGCCTTGTATAGGTTTAAACACTTGTTGAATCTGATTAGATAGGATGCCTCTTCACACCCAGGGTGCACTGCGTTTCAGCAAAATTATGTATGCTTACTCAACACCCTTCTCGAGCAGTGCTGTGGAGTATTCGAATGTCTCAACGATGGTGACTGTGTCCAGCAGCAGTTTGTTGAGGTAGACTTGTATCTCTAACTCTTGGAAAATGGCTAACCTCCCTGTGCAACGTCACCAGCTTGAAGATCTGTATAGAGAGAGCTTTGTCTTGAAGACTTGCCTGGACAAAGCAACGTCGTCTTCGGTGCTTGAGCGGCTGCTTCCAAAGAGATATAAGCAATACCAGAAGGGCATTTCGGGGAAAGCTTGAGTTGACCACATCGAGGGTTTGTCATGGTTAATGTTGGATGAAGATTGCTCCTTCCATCGTTTGTGCGGGCGGTGAGGTTCATGGGAGCTGAGAAGAGCACGAAGCTGATGGTTTTTGTGCCTGAGCTTGAGGTGCACCTGTGCCCGATTCGATGACAATCGTCGAGCAAATCGTGCAGCAGTTTTACTCTGACATTACCCTTTGTGCGCATTGTGGGAGGTACGAAGTTGGTGCTCGCCTGCACTGCCATCTCTGTCGGAGAATTTAGGGCAGCGAATTGGCTTTCTGTTCTGCGGTCGCTATCTGAAGTGCATGGTAGAACGTGTGTGAGAACAGTTTTGTGAATGGGGATGTTCTGTAAGCATGGTTGCAGGGCCGCCCATGTGTTGTACCATACTGGCTGTGGAAGGTTGTCGACGTCGGTTCATGCGCCCAGCGGTGGTCACTGGGCTGTCCCAGCAGATAACATAGCCTGGCGGCTGGAGCTTACCGTATCTTCAGCTGGTGGCATTGGTTGATGGCTGGGCCAAAGTGGCTGGGCAGTGTTGCTGACCTTCTCCCACTCCCAACCAGGAGTGGAAAGAGTCTTGGCTCTTCTTGTAGTGCACGGGAATGCATTGTGCTGGCTGCGGCTGTTTCGTGTTTCGATGGGCGGATGCTTGTATTAAATGTGCTGAACTCTTTCGAGCTGAGACAAATCAACAACCCAATGCACACTGTGAGTATCCAGCAAACTGCGACCGCCCATCTAAATGTCGCATGGCCTTCTGCACCCTGTTCTGAATAGGAAAGCCTTTGGGGGACGAATGCTGCACACTCGTCATGTGAATTGCATTTGCACCCCTGTGTTGTCGGCCATCGGACTCTCAGATTGGATGTGATCAATCCGTGGCATGTTCGACCGGTTGTTGTTATGCTGGGAGCACATCGTACGTGGGGATCCCTTTCTTTATCTCCATGAGCCCTGCCCGCCCTCCGGCGTCGGCCATGCAGCCCAGCGTGTCGTCAATGAGTTCCGACAGAATGTACTTCCTGCAGAATCTTCCATCCCCCAGGCGTTCCCTCTGTCTCTGCGGGCCTGCCCCTGGGTTTGTTGTGGCGTTCCGATGTTTCCGCGCTTTGAACTTGGCCATGGCGTGCCGGACTGCTGCGGCCCTGCCAACTGGAATGCTACAGATGGTGCATGTTTGAAATCCGGGCCGGGTTGGTGGGTTGTGTCCTGCTCATGTGACACCGATGGAGGAGTCACACATATAAGAGGATGCCATACATGCTCTGCAGAAGCCGCGGCAAATTCCCTCAAGGCAGTAACGTGAACGTATTCCATTCAACGAACACAGGCCCGTTGCAAAGCATCAGCAATCCAGCAACTCATGTGATACAGTTCAGTTTTGGGCAATTGTGCAACTGGAATGCGCTCTTCGCAATCCAGGCCAATACATCTGCATCCACTCATTGCCATTTGAGCGCACGATGTCATTCAATAGGTGGGTTGCGATGGTCGCTGCACAATGTGGAAAATGTTTCAAAGAGCGAATAGATAATTAACTGATCTATGGTTCCTCAAATGGAAGGTGTACAGATTGGAGGCATGGCCACCCGAGACCGCGCCATATCCAGCGTATATCCCCCAAAGGTTTAAGCAACCACAGCAACCCAATTTTTTCACTCAATAGGAGGCGAAGCAAGCGCGGTGGAGTTGTGTCCAACGTCTAGGCTGATAACTGAAACTGCATGCTGTAGTTGTGAAATTATCTAAGGAGATGCAAGTTTCCGATTTGCGGCACACTCAGCCGAGAGATGGGATCACACGCCCAGGACTGCGAGCCCACCTGGTGGATTGCCTGCTGGTGCCAGGCAGTGGGGAGGAGGCAGATGTACAGCGATCCTCTTGTTCCTGAACATATGCATCACGGGGAGCATCTTGCTGTAGAACGGAACGAGAACGGGCCCAACTGACTTGTGGCTCCTTAGCAACCTGCCCACCACACCACATTTGCTCTGGGTCGACCCCTTCTCATCAACGGATGATTTGGCTTGGTTCATTGTTGCGCGGATTGGGAGGACACAACCAGTTGGAGTGAAGCATATTGAAGAAATTGCTTTGGACATCCGCGAAACAATGAACCAGAGGGACTTGCTTGAGTAGCGAAAGTAAAAACCACAACGAAATATCCAAAGGGCCACACCGTTCTCAGAATTTGACACTCAGATGCGTCTTAATCCACAAGGAATCTACCCCGCGCCGGACTCCCTCCACACGATGCATTGCACGTTCCCGCTGTGCCCCCCTGTGCTTACCGTTGCACAAGAAGTAGGACGTTGCCAATCAAAGCAGGCTGGAAAGTGTTGAGTGCAAGTCGAATGGGCTGACAAAGCAGGGGTGCAGCTGCGGCCACTTTTGCGCCTCCTACTTCAAGCATTTGTTTCGCGCACTCGCTGGCAAGGAAGCGGTAGGGTTCATGGCCACACCTTGCGCCTGAACAGGGGAGGGTGAATCTCAAGAAACGGGGTTTGTTTCAGCGAAGCCGCATGTTGCTGTACACTTCACCGTGTGCGCTTTGTTGGACGCTCTGTTTGCTTTTGCTTCGTGAAGTTGCGTATAGCTGATACCAGCGTTCAGAATGTGCATGTTTTATACAACACCCACTCCATTGGCAATTTGCCACTGACATGAAGCGGATGAGACTAGTGATGCAGTGAGAAAGAACAGAATCTTTGCCTCTGCCGAATGCAGCTTGGATACCCATGTGGTCATATGTTTCTGAGAGTAATACGGTACATCATAGCCATAAGCCTACGTCAATTCGCATATTCAGAAACAAGGCCCTTAAGCACTCAACTTCAAACATCAAGGGAAGATAGGCTTTATAATCATCTTTTGCCATTCTCCTCGGCGTCAGAGGATACCCATCGGGCGATTTCGCTGTCCATGCAACGTCATTGATTGCGTCGACTTTCAACCTGGCCGGCAGCTCTCCTTTCCATGCGCAAACTTCGAATTTGGTGGCAAGGAGGTGCATATTCCCTAGGCGGTCACAGGGTGTGTATATCCTCCTGTCGTGGTTGTGCATTTTTTCATCGTTGTGGACCCCTGTTTCAAAAAACCCCAGTACAGACATGCGATAAGCAGGTGCCCTCTTAAATCTGTGGCACCAAAATGTATGTGACTGCCCTACATGATTCCAAACAGAGCGCAGCGCACTGTGGGTGAAGCTCAATGTTCTTCTCACCTCTGCATGGTGCACAGAATCTGGGCCGTTCCGTGATGTCTTTGGGCCAAAGTTCTCTTGCGGGAACATCTTCTCTGGGCTTCCATGCGCTCACGCTGGCCCTCTGGCCCTGGCCCATGGGCTTGGATTCATGTATCCCTGGGCTCATGGCGCCCCCCAACCGCTCACCAATGCCATTGATGGCAGAATCCCATCCCTGCTCGTGGCAATTACAATTCCGCCTGAAAACTCATCATGACTATCATTCATTGCAAGGAAGTCCATACACACATGAAAAGCATCTAGCATGCATGACCTTAGCCCTTGCATAAGACAAATACCTAGGCTTGTTCAAAATAGAAGCAAAAACGCATTCTTCTGTGGAGAAAGCATGACAGTTCGGAGGTCAACTAAAGTTGCGCATGTTGCTCTCACACTCACAGGAGCTCAGACGAACTCGACACCGCAGATCGCTTGGCCAATAGCTATTGATTCCCCTGGTCTTCGTGGAACGGCTGAGTACTGTGGACAATGCAGGGCCAATGTGTGCCGGATCGCCATTCTTCCCTTCCAAAGGCCTGTCCTCTCCCTTTCAATTGCCCAAAGTGTGTTTTCAAATTGACGAGCCTACCGTATCTGCATATAGCATTGGAGAAATATGTTCACTTTGCCCATCTCGTTGTGGCGACCTATGGTTAACGTTGACTGTTTTCAGGGACTAAAACAGGCAAAGAAGCAACCAGGAAGACGCCAATTTCTTCTGAAAGTCGACTCGTTCGAAAACTCCCACAGAATCCATTAGGAATATTCCTGGAAGCGCGTGTTTATATTACACAGCGGTCACACTGAAGATCGCTTTCAGTGTATGAATTCACGAGTCTTAGGCGATGCCTCAGTGAAGAACCAATATCGGTTGTCATAAGCAAAACGATACCAGGCCAGTTTCCGACACATCAATCTACGAATCTCAGACGCGTCGATTCTTGTACATTGATTCTTTGGCAGTCTTCTGATTCTCCAACCTCTCACGAAACATTTACCCAAATGGAAACATTTCACAGTTATCTGTTCTGTTCACCTCCAAGCAGATATCCCCAGAGAGGACCAAGCAGGAGCCAGACAATAAAAATGGGATGCGACAACGAGACATCGCATTAGTGCTCTTGGGGGCGTTTTCAGTACATTGTTGTCCGCACGTGGCACTATCTACCACTATTTGAATTCTGATTCCACGCAATTGTGTATGGATGCATCCAAGCACAGGTGCATAACTAGCTGCGTTTCCACGCTACGGACATGCAAAAATTTAACATCATGCTGAAATGATCGTTCAACCCCGGCCCTCACTGCATCCCCGCTATCATAAACAGATTTCAATATTTTCTCATGCCACCTTGTGAGCTTAATACAACTGAGACCTTGGCTCAACATTTGCATCTCGCTTGTCGTGCTTTCGCGTACAGGAAGTCCCCTAGCCAATCCCTTACGTATTTGTTTGAACTTAAGAGGCTGTTGCACGTCGAGGCATGAAGCATGCGCTCCAAGCACAACCATAAACTCATGTGCTGGACACGCCAAGCAAGACGATGTTTCACCTTTTGGGATACACTTAGTTTCCGAGCTCCAGCTTCCATCGCGACCAGACGAATTTCCTACGTGTGCTAGCCAACCGTATGCACCCCAAGGGTCAGTCCCTTCGGCTGCAAGGCTAACTCTTTCCACCCTTTTCCACCTTCCGCGCTTCTGCAATTGGCAACGAATGTGAATGTACTGATGTACATGGCTTGC